GGTTCATGAAGAATCCATATATGCTCATGCCACTGACAGATAAGAAATTAAAACACCACTTTATAGTTAGCTGAATAAATGCCCAATTCCTTAATGTAAAACTCTCCTTTAAAAACAAAGTTAGAGGCCAGGTGCGCCTGTAATCCCAGCACTTTGGGAGGCCAAGGCGGGCAGATCAATTGAGGTCAGAAGATCGAGAAACCCTGTCTCTACTAAAAGTACAAAAATTAGCTGTGCATGGTGGCATGCATCTGTAATCCCAGCTACTCCGGAGGCTGAGGCATAAGAATTGCTTGAACCAGAGAGGCAGAGGTTGTAGTGAGTCAAGATCATACCACTGCACTCCAACCTGGGCAACAGAGCAAGACTCAGTCTCCAACAAACAAACAAACAAAACAAAGTTAGAGCCTATACTAAAGGCTTACAAGGACCTTCCTCTCCCCATGACATATCAAAACCTACTCACTTTTCGTCCTGCCACATTAGACAAGATGCAAACAAAAAATGTACACTTAGCTATGCATTTGAGGAAGAGAAAACAAGGCCAGATCCCAAGGGAAGGCCCTGATTCAGCTTACGTATTCCTTCTGCATTAAGATAAAGCTGAGTGGAGGCTCATATCTCTGTTTATGTTAAACACAGATCAACTCATTCCCTAGAATCTGGCCAATCTGTAAATTACTCCTTTCCAGGAAAAGGTGAATATTAGGAAAGAAGGGAAGATATTGAACCTCCCTTCCCTCTAAACACTTGCTCCTCAAAATGTGGGCCATGGACCAGCAATATCAGCAGTACCTGACAGCTTGTTAGAAACATAATCTTGGGCCCCAGCCTAAATTAACAGAGTCAGAAAACTGCATTTTAATGAGCCCTCCAAGCAATTCATATATACATTAAAGTTTGAGAAGCACTGATATTGTTTTTTATATTTTTTATATTTTTTTATTTCAATAGCTTTTGGGGCACAAGTGATTTTTTTGTTACATGACTTATATAGTGATGAATTCTGAGATTTTTAGTGCACCCATCACCCAAGTAGTGTACATTGTACCTAATGTATAGATTTTTTTATTCCTAGGTCCTCCCCAATCTCCCCATTCTGAGTTTCTAAAGTCCATTATGCTACTCTGTATGCCTTTGCATACTCAAAGCTTAGCTCCCACTTACATATGAGAACATTTGGTTTTCCACTCTTACGTCACTCAGAGTAATGGCCTCCAGCTCCATCCAAGTTGCTGCAAAAGACATTGTTTCGTTTCTTTTAATGGTCTAGCAGTATTCCATGGTGTATACTATATCACATTTTATTTATCTTCTCATGAGTCAATGGGCACATAGCTTGCTTCCCTATCTTTGCAATTGTGAACTGTGCTGCTATCATCATGTGGAAAAGAAGTGAGTTTCTGACCTTAAGTTCATCCTCAAATTTTCTGTCATTTGGGTCTTTTCTCACTTCCTAAAATAGTGCTTTGCATATGGCCAATGGTTAATAAAAGAATGTTTAAGAAATTCTTGTTGGCATTTATTTAATTCCATTCGAAGGGAGAAAATCATTTCTGGGAAGCCAAAACACGTTTACCAGTGAGTGGTTTAAACAGAGAAAGAAGCATACTGACAACAAGCAAACAGAACACTTCTAGACATACACACACAACTCTGTGGAGCGGGACAGATGGGCATAGTAACTCTCCTCTCACTCTATGCTACCCCTCCTAATAGTCCCTCCCTTCCTCATTCATGCTCGCCTTTGTTGGAGCTACTACTAAGCTCTTTTGTGTTCTGCTTTATACACAGGGTAGTACTGCATAGCTTACATGTTTCTCATAGCCTTGTCCTCAAACCCAAAATCTAAGAGTGAGGTACCGCACCATTAAGCCAGCACACAGTGGGAAAATAAAAAGTAATTTGGCGTGTCAGTATTTCTTACCTTTAAATGGTTGTCACCACTGTGACCCAATTCATGTCTTATTTCTGACAGGAGCCAAATCCCAGGCCTGGATCTTTATCCAATGTTTGCCTCCTGTAGCCTGTCCTATCTAAGTTATTTTAAGGACTGGCAGCAACACAGCTTCAGAGTGCCCAGCCTCCAGTTTTCTCTTTTCTCTACCTGATGCAATACCTTAAAGTAAAAAGGGCCTGCAGTTGGCTAATATTTATGGATTAACTGGAGTTCTGTTGCAACATTCTTATGGAATCCAATAATGACAGGACTTAATGAGCAATAATTAAAGTTGCCATCTGTCAAGCACTTACGATGTATTTCACAACAACCCTATGAAGTAAGTAGTATTCCCATTTCATGAATGAGGAAATTTGAAGTTTTCAGAAGTTGAATAAGTTGCCCAGGAAATAGCAAAGATAGAATTCCAGCTAACACTTGCCTGAGTCTAGAATCTCTTAACCACTGAACTTATATGATGTCTCACTTGTAAGATACCACTGCAAGCACACTGTGTGAGCAGAGAATCATCTACCCTCTCTGGGGATAATGTGAGGATCAAATAAGATGAAAGATGTCAAAGCATTTAGGAAACTAAAGAAATATAAAATATACTGTGTAATTTCGCATGCCAAAATTATGTCCAACTAAAAGCCCTCGGTTCTCTGTAAATGACAAGTGTATATGTGAAAAATGTTTACCTTTATAGAGATATCTCACCTTTATAGAGATATGCATTTTTAATTTATCAAATTAGAAAAATTTGCTTAAGAGCTCACCCTTGAGGTCGGCAACAAGGCAGTGAAACTAGCACATTGCTGATGGGAGCACAAGTCAGTATAACATTTCTGAAAAGCAAGTTGACAATGTGTTTCAAGACTTTATTAAAACTTGAACTACTTTTTGTAAGAAACAATAGGACAAAAATTTAAGTATAAAGATAGTTAAAAGCATAGATTCTGGAGCCAGATTTCTTGGGTTTAAGTCCCAGCTCCACTACTCGTTAGCAGTATAATCTCAGGCAAGTCTCTGTGACTTGGTATCTAAAATGAGGATAACAATAATACTGATTTCACTAAGTTATTATGAGATTTCAATGGATTATTCTATGTAAAGTGCTTAACCCAATGCCTGGCACAATGTAGGTGGCACATATGTAGGTGGCATCTATTATTTTGATCTCAGTATTGTTTATAATAGCAAAATCTGTTGACTCTAGAAGAATGCTTAAGTATGCTGTAATAAACCTTACAATGGAATTTTTTTTTTGAGATGGAGTCTCCCCCACCCCCCACCCCCCATGGCCCAGGTTAGAGTGCAATGGCATGATCTTGGCTCCCTGCAACCTGTCTCCCAGGTTCAAGGGATTCTCCTGCTTAACCTCCCAAGTAGCCAAGATTACAGGCACCTACTACCTTACCGGGCTGATTTTTGTATTTTTAGTAGAGATGGGGTTTCACCATGTTGGCCAGGCTGGTCTTGAACTCCTCGTCTCAGGTGATCCACCCACGTCTGCCTCCCAAAGTGCTGAGATTACAGGCATGAGCCACTGCACCTGGCGACTTACAATGGAATAATGTACAGCTATCAAAAATGAGACTTTAAAAGAATAATTAATTACATATAATGTAAAGTAAAAAGCATGGGAAGCAAGCCTGGGGAACATCGCAAGACAGTGTCTCTACAAAATATAATTAACCAGGGATGATGGTGTGCACCTATAGTCACAACTGCTCAGGAGACTAAGGTGAGAGATGAGAGGATCCCTTTAGCCCAGGAGTTTGAGGCTGCAGTGAGCAATTATCATGCCACTGCACTCCAGTCTGGGCGACAGAGAAATACCCTAACTCAAAAAAAAAAATAAAAAAGCAGTAAACAAATTGTGTATATTGTTCCATACCACTTACATTTGCTAAAAGAGCACTTGTACAAATATAGATGCCTAGAAAACAACTGGTAGGAATTCCATCAAAATATTAACATAGACCACAACTGGGTGTAGATTGGGGATTCTTTATACTTTACTGTATTTTCCAAAATCTCTAGAGCAGTGTTTCTCACACTTTAATCGGTAAACAAATCACCTGGTATGCTCGTTAAAATGCAGCTTCTGGGTCAGTAGGTGTGGGATGTTGCAGATTCTGCATTTCTGACAGATTCTCCTGTGATGCTGATGATAGTGGCCCGAGGTCTACACTTCGAGTAGCAAGGTTTTAAAGCAGCATATCTGAACCAATATACTGGTTAACTGGGACCCACCCCCAGAGTTTCTGATTTCATAGGTCTGGAGTAAGATCCTGGGATTGACATTTCTAACTGTTTCCCAGGCGATGCTGACGCTGCAGGTCTGGGAACAGCACTCTGACAACCTGTGGTCTAGAATATTTTTTCCTTAACATCATAGAGGGGAGGGCACTAAAAAAAATATGTCAGGCTTCTCCATTGCCCACAAAATCAAATCCAAACTCTTCGTCCAAAACCTTCCATAATCCAACCCAGTCATTTCCCACTACTTCTCATTAGGACGTAAAATCAAACCTCTATGCCCTAAACACACCTGAGATTTCAAACATCAGGACTTCTGCTGGATTTCCTCACTCTGGCTATCCCACTTTCTTCTATTTCCTCAGGCCAAATCCGACCCAACCTTCAAGGTCCTCAAATGCTGTCTCCTCCATAAAGCCTCCTGATCTACCAGTACTCAAAAAGCGACCTCTCCCTCCCCTCCTCAGGGCTGCACAGGACTTTTTGCTTCTCCCCAGTGACAGGCACCATCTGTACGTGGTCCAGCGACTCCACCGGTGGGAGGCGTATCTTCGCCTGTAGACTGGGAGTTTCTTGAGGGCAAGGGAATGACTTGCCTCTCTTTGCCTCTTAGGCTTAGCAAATCCCCAGTCAACAGCTGACACTCAGAATTGACCGAAAGAATGAAGGAAGGAATGGGACCTCCTGAGGAAGGGCACAGAACTGTCCTGTAAATGGAAACTAGACCGGACGCACGCCAAGGCGATGACCCACAGTAACAGGTGCTCCGTCTCTGATGTCTGTGATTCATTCTGCACAGCTGCGCACACACAGGCTCCCAGGATACGGCGCCCCACACGCTGTACAGCACGCCGCGTTCTGGACGCCCCGGCCGCCACACACCGAGACACACCTCAGCGACAACCTGGATCCACAAAAAGGAGGCCCTGCACCCTTAAAAATATTAACATCTTTCTGCAAAGAACTAGAAGCCCCGGCTTGCGCCTGCGCCCCTTGTTCCCCGCCGCACCTTTCCTTGTAGTTTTTAAGAAATCTATTTCTGCACGCATTTCGTCGCCGCCGCCCCCATCCCTACACACACACACACACACACACACACACACACACACACACACACACCCCTTCCCCCTACACCGACCCCCTCCCTTTCAGATTCGGCGCGCCTCGGAGAGCGGGATTGAAAGGGAAAGAGCGGGGCCGTCTTTGTCGTTAATCCTCCCCTCCTTCGGGCGAGCCAAGCTTCTTCCGGGTCAGCGACCATCCCCGCCACCCCACTCAGGGCCGCGGCCCCCCAGCAGCGCTAGCCCGGGGCCCACGAGCACACGCCCCGCTGCCGGCAGGTTGCGGAGGGCGGAGGGCGGGAGCGGGCGGCGCGGCGCGGGGAGGTGGGGGGAGGGGCCGGCGTCCCAGGCGGCGGCGGCGGCGGCGGCGGGAGCAGCCTCTGGCAGCAGCGGGGAGAATGGGAGTGCGGGGCGCCAGACCGCCGCGGGGTGTCACGGCCGCCACCAAGCCTGCGAGGCGCGGGGCCGGCGCCCGCGGCTTTTAAACCCGGGAAGGCGCGGCGGCGGCGGCGGCGGCAGCGGGCAGATCGCGGCGCGCACCCGGCGCCGGGGCGGCGGCCGAATGGAGAGGAAGGGTTCGGCGGCCGGGGCCAAGGGGAACCCGAGCCCGCCCGCGGCCGGAGACGGGCAGCGGCCACCGCCGCCGCTGAGCGTCCCGGGAGGCGGCGGTGGAGCCCCGGCGCGGGGCCAGGTCGGGGCGGCGGCCGAGCCTGCCGAGCTCATCCGGCGAGCGCACGAGTTCAAAAGCCAAGGGGCGCAGTGCTACAAGGACAAGAAATTCCGTGAAGCCATCGGCAAATACCACCGGGCGTTGCTGGAGCTGAAGGGGCTGCTGCCGCCCCCCGGGGAACGGGAGCGCGACTCGCGCACGGCCTCCCCGGCCGGGGCCCCCAAGCCCGGCCGCCTCTCGGAGGAGCAGAGCAAGACGGTGGAAGCCATCGAGATCGACTGTTACAACAGCCTGGCAGGTGAGCCGCCTCGCGTCCCCTGCCCTCTGCCCCCCGCCCCTTGGGCCCCGGGCCCCGGGCCCTGGTCCTTCGGCCCGGTCCCTCCGCGGACCACTGCGGCGCGCCCGCGGTGCAGATTCCCCTGCTGTGACCGTGCTGCCCTGGGGAGGAGAACCCGGGAGGGAGGCGCTTTGGAAAAAGTGTGACTTTCAGGATTATACCTTCCAAAGGCCATAGTCATCTCTCGTCCCTTCGCTTGCAAACATCGTAAATCTCACCTATAAATGACTGGGTAGATAGAAGGGGACCCAGCTGGCGGGGCGATGGCTGCTGCTGCTACTGCTCACCGGTGGACCTGGGTCCAAAATGCGGAAGCAGCGCCCGGGGTGGGCCCCCCGCACCCACCACTGGCCCAGGTGTTTCCTGCGGGATGGTCCCAAGGGAGGCCACGCACCTGTCCACTCTCCTCAGGTAGCACTGGCACCAAAGACTGGTCCTCGCCTTTCCCCCAACTAACCGCCTCCCTGTAGGTAAGGTCTTCCCCGAGTTTTTTGGCCCCAATAGCAAAGGGGAGTTAGACACCGTGCCTTCAGCATCTTGAGCAAAATGGATTCCAGAGTGCCACTTTCTTCTCTCTGAGCTATGCTAGGGTTCCCGGTTGCCAGGTGAAGACCACAGTCTCAAATGAAACCTGCTTCGTGGCTGGGCTCGAACTAGGCTGCGTTCCCACTCTCCTCCCTGCCCCTTTCTCGCTATGTGTAGCATCAGCCCCCACGCCAGCTGGCTGCTAGGGGCAAAGGAAAAGGGGGCCCTTCTCTCGGGCAAAGAAGGTGTACATTCCAGCAGCAAGGAATTCCAGTACACGCCTTATCCAACTTTGGGGATAAGGGCCAAAATCAGGCATTTACAGATTTTTTAATTTAGGCGCAGGAAAATTTAAAGCCTCTAAAAAAGGAAGGAAGAGTCTGGCTCTTGCCAAGGCCTTCCTGTGAGAAGGTGGGAGAGGTTGGCAAAGGCAATTTGAAAAGCATTCTCTCCTCTTGGCTTGGCCCATTTGGTGAGATTTTGGCGTGGTCAACCTTCTCCGATCAAATAAAGGGTAGTTCCTCCTAGTTCCTAACGTGTGAGGTGGCCGAAACTGTCTACGGACAGTTAGAGCAGGGTACGGGTGGAAGAGTGACTGGGTGTGGCAAGGGATGGTGAATGTGTCTGAGGCTCAGGCAGTGGAGAGTGAAAATAAATCCTGGCAATTCTGCTCTATTCTTAAATGCAGATCTCTCTGTTCCCTCCGAGGTTGCTAGTATTAGCCTACCTCTGTCTTCCCATAATGCCATGCCCAGTTTCATCTTTGATCAGGAAAAACCCAGGTTACAGAGGCACTTTGTAAAAAGTAGTTTACAAACTTAAAGGATTAATAGAGTAGTAGCAGCAGTCGGAGGAATGGTGGTGCTAATAGCAATACTAGCAGTAATAGCCGCAGATAAAATTGTTGTACAGCAAAAATGGACCCTTTCAATCCATTATGAGATACAGCTTGAGTCCTTTAGTTCCCATAAGTCTTTGGCATACTGGCTGCTGCCCCATGAATAAAGGGCAGAGCAGCCAGGGGTGGAGGAAGAGGCACTGTGGATTGCTAATGCGGTGATTTTGGAGTGGTAATGGAGTCTTATATTTAGTCAGTGTTATCCATGGACATTCTAGGGCTACCAGCCAGTGGCTAGCACTGCCTGCCCTCCACCCCAGACGTGGTTACATTTCCATGGTGAAATTAAAGATGTGTCCTTACTCAGGGCCAGCCCAGTTAGGGTGGGGCTGAAATCTAGACAGCTCTGCCACTCCCATCCTCACCTCACACACTGGAAAACTTCAACAGTGAGAGAATGGAAAGTAGAAATAGCAGATGTTCCCCTCTGCTGCCTTCTCCAGTGCCCACCACTTATATTAATAATTAATTGTGTACGCTGTTAGGCATCCTCCATACATTGTCTCTTTAAATCTTCATAATCTGTATAAAAGAAATATCATCATCAGTTTTGCAGAGAAAAAGCTCAAGGCTCCGGAGCATTCTTCTTCAAAGGCAATGTTCCTGTCATCATACTTTGATGCACTAAGTCAGCATCCATTGGGCCTCTGTCTCCCTCGAGCCCAGTTTCAGGTGGGCTCCAAAGCCTTGTACTTTGGAAATTCCTTTGGGAGTTCTCAGGCTTGGTAAGCAGGAGAAAGAAATAGAGTACTCTGATTCAAGGTTCTAATGGGGCTATTTGCAAATGTCAAGTTTCACACAAGAAAAAAAAAAAAAAAAAACAGATTACAAACAAAGCAGTTTTGTCAAAGCTAAACTCTGTATCCTGTCTAGCAAATTCAGCTAGGAGGATGGTTCCACTTAAAAGTCACTCTGAGGAGAAGTAAAGGCCTTGTGTTTGTTTCCTTCAGGGCTATGTATAAAATCAGTGATGACTATTTCAGAAGTCCCAGCTAATAGGAAAGGATCCTTTCTCGTTAGATTACAAAAGAATCAATGCATATCATATGTATTTTCTTTTGTGAAATACTAAAACATTTAAAGAAGAAAATACACAGTTACCTCTAATCCAGTTAGAAACCCATTGTGGTGTATTTCCTTCCTGTATTTTTTTCTGTGAATAAATATAAAGAGTTTACGGAGCTGAGGTCCTCCTGTGTCTACAACCGGGTATCCTGCTTTTAATCTTATTTACTTATATCAGAAGCATTTTTGCATTTCATAAAAATCGTTTCATGAAGATTATTTTAAATGGCAACAGAAAAATTTTACACGTGTATTTATAGCCCTCGTTGTCTAGAAAAGAAGGAAAAATGATCACTGGTGTTGTTGTTAGAGCCAGAACAGTGCAGCATGGCCCATGAGATATCTTTTCCCCTGTGTGCCTGCTGAAAGGAAGGAGACCAGCAACTGGAGATTTGTTCTGGAAGAATGGCAGCTGACCCTTCCACCAGGGCTGCAGCACCAGCTGAGTGGCCCATCAAGCTCCAGGTCTGGGGCAGTCTGAATGTATTTAATCAAGGATCTGTCTGTCCTCCTTCTACACAAAGCTGTGCATAGAGAGAGAGGACTGGGGTTTAGGAGGGACTTGGACTGCTGACCTAGAAGTCCAGGGAGAATTAAGCTGTGTTGCTAAGGGCATCGCTGCTCTAAACAAGAGGTGGTTCTGAGCCTTCTGGAATAAATCTAGGCTCAGTGAATGCTTGTATTCCACATGGAAGCCTCCAAAAAAATAGCAAGGGTGCAGCTAGAGTGTGCTAAGAGATGTCCATCTAAAAACCTATTTGGATGACTTGCAGGGACATATGAAGGGTGTACAGGCAATTTGCAAAGTGCTCCAGGTTGGGGTTTCTTCTGGTTCAGATTTGCTTTTGGTTGGAAGGGATCTGGCCAGTTGTACAGGGCCCCTGGATGTGATTTTTGCATATCTTATTTTCCAAGAAATTCAAAGAAAGATGTAGGGAGCGTTCCGTTTCTTCAGAATTTCCAATGATTCTGTTACAATGATTAGAAAAGATACCCTGACCTTCCTGGGGAGACATAGGAATCTGATCTTTACAGAGGCTGCAAAGGAAGCATGTATTGGCCTGTTGGTGGACTCTTCTTGACATTGAACAGGACTCCCCTGGGGCCTTGGAATGTTCTGTGCTGAACCCTTTGAAGGGCAGAGACTTTTGCCCCACATCTGTTCCTGTGGGGCTGTGGGGGCCCTAGCTAAAGTGTGATCAAAGGGATACAACACACAATGACTTTGTTGGTATCTTCAAATGATGTTCGAGGCTCAAATGCCAGCAGCAGAGATGGAAATCAACAAACCAAGGCATTGGACCTGAAGACTAGGAGCTTGTGCCTCTGTCCCTGGGATACGTTGTGACCTTGGATAAACCACGGCCATTTCACTTTGCCTCCATTTTCCCGTCTACTTAACAGCTATGTTTAGGAGATTTTTGTTTATCTTACCAAAGGTTTAGCTAATATCCACTGATCCCAGTTGAAGCCTCAGGATAGGAATGTGGCAATGCCTAGAAGGAAGTCACACTGGGAAAAGGCCTGGGATGCTGCTGCTTTGAAACAAGCTTTTCGGTGCTTGTGGACATATCTTAAAGCCATGGGATCAGAGCCAGCCATATAATTTGCTGGGCCCAGCACAAAATGAAACGTAGGACTCTTTGTTCAAAAGGCAGGGAGGAAGTGTCGTTAAAGATCCTAAAAGATAGAGCTTTCTTCTTTTTTTCATTCTCTCTCTCAACATGGTGTTTTGTATTTGCTATTTCATGTCATTGCAAATAAAAAAAATTTAAAATGTAGTTGTTGGCATAGGTTTTACTATTCTTTTTTTTTTCTTTGAGTTGGCGTCTCACTCTGTCACCCAGGCTGAAGTACAATGGCACAATCTTCAGCTCACTGCAACCTCTGATTCCCGGGTTCAAGCAATTCTCCTGCCTCAGCCTCTCGAGTAGCTGGGATTACAGGCACACGCCACCACACCCGGCTGATTTTTGTAATTTTAGTAGAGACAGAGTTTTACCATACTGGCCAGGCTGGTCTTTGGCCAGGCTGGTCTCAAACTCCTGACTTCATGATCCGCCCACCTCAGCCTCCCAAAGTGCTGAGATTACAGGCCTGAGCCACCATGCCCGGCCTGATTTTATTATTCTTTATATTGTGTGATGCCAGTTTTAAATGAACTTATAAAAGCACTTTACTTATATGAGGGATTATAAAAATTATACAATTTATACTTCTGTAGCTCATACATGCATATGTATTTATTCTTACTAGAACAGTGGAAATGCTGTACCAAACAAACTGAACTATTTTTATTTCACTTTTTTATATGTGTACTTTATATGCTTACTTCATATACACACTTTCTACCAGGCTTTCAGATGCGCTAGGAAAGGAAAAGGGGCTGTACGTTACCCTACCCTTTCCTTCTGTGTCATACTTTTCGCATAAGTGGCTGGCTAATAGGAGGAAGCAACATAGATAGGAAAGG